ACCCCTCACACATTTGATTGACAAAAGTACTAACTAACTAAGTACTAACTAAAAAGTACTGGCCTAACTAAGCCTAAGGTGGCAGCCTGGATTTACCTGAAGATCAATTCACCATGTTGCTGGTTACATCAAAGCATTTTGGGGAGATGGTTGATGGGACAAAGCAAATGTTTGATACTTGGGGGATTACTGAAGCTTCACATAGCTGACTGATAGCTATGGTTTCCTGATTTTATTAATGGATTTTCCATGCCGATAGGATAAAAGCTTCTTCTTGAAGGTGATCTCCCAGACCACCACAACCAATCATGCAATATGCCCTACCTCTTTACCCAGTGGTGGGATTCAAATTTTTTTACTCCTGGTTCTGTGGGTGTGGCTTGGTGGGTATGGCAGTGGAAGGATACTGTAAAATCTCCAGTCAGAGGCGGGATTTGCCGGTTCTCTGAACTACTCGAAATTTCCACTACCGGTTCTCCAGAACTGGTCAGAACCTGCTGAATATCACCTCTGCCTTTATCTTTCTCTTATCTCCCAGCTCTTACCCAAGCACTGTGCACCCACCATCAGCAAGGCCCGAACCAAGAGGGCTCAAAAAAAAGCTTCCAAAAAGTCAGAGCCAGAAAGGGATAAACCTGGAGCAGAGAGCATCCGGAAGAACCGCGGTCTGGTTACAAAGTAAGATTATAACATTCAAATCATTTATATTTCTTAAACTAATTACCTTTTAGATAACATTGAACCTGATGGTTCTGTTATAAGAGAGCATATAGATACCCTGAGATGTTAATTTAATCCTGAATATATCCTAATATATAACTCTGAATTAACATTATAATAAATATACTGTAATTTATATAATCCTGAATATAATCCTAATATATCCTGAAAGGATTTTTCATCATGATGCAATTTCTAAAGATGATCTAGTGTTTTCAAGAAGATTGCATATGCTAATTCAGAACTAAGTTTGTTCTGTATTTTGTTTGTAACTATGTATAATCAGAATCAAAATAGATATGATGAAGGAGATACACTTCTTCATAGGAAAGGAAGGGGCTATATATTTTTGTGCTTTTAAGGTGGGATACAAGACATTTTATAATGTACAGGAGAAGTTGGATATGGCTTTCCTAATGGAATGGAACTAAAATTGGGGCTGTAAATAGTCTTGAATCAGGCTCTGAGGACTCCAGCTTCATTGATACAAAAGAGCACAAGAACTACAAAAAGCTGGAGGAAAATGTGCAAGAGGAAGATAAGAAGTGAAAGTTTTGGCTGACCAGGTTAAATTGTAAAAGCAACAACTAAGGTACCCTGGAATTTAAACTTACAAAAAATAACATTGCTCCCAAAGAAGAGTCGGAATCAGCGAAGGAAAGTGAAAAGGGAAAGGTTTGCCTTTTCCCCACTTCTCTCTCCTTCCCTATACTGACAACTAAGCGACTTAAATAAGAAATTGGAAAAATCCGCTTTGGCATCAATAGGCAATTAAGCTGAAAATATAACTAAATGCCAAAGAGGGCATTTAGAGGGAGGAGACTGCCTGGAATTAAAAAGAATCTAAAGTAAAATTTCAATAAGACTTCTAAAAGATACATTTTAACTGAAACTTTGCAACTAAATAGTAACCCCAGGAAGAGAAAATGAAAAAAAAAAGAAAGAAAGCGTAAAAAGAAACAGCTTGTGTGTATTTGGATTGCTTGGTGACTTTTGGATTTTTGGTTATTATATTTAAATGACTAAAACCAATTGGGTGATTGTTTAAAAATTTTATAATGGCATCACTTCTGGATGGATTGAAAATGGAACTTTAAAAGTACAAAGAAGATGCACAAGAAGGGAAGGGCTCTTTTGGCTTCGTTTTTCAATTCTTAGAAATGGAGATCTGGAACTATGAGAAACAACAAGGAAAGACTGCAAAACAAGAAGACTGGGACAAAGAAGAAGCCATCTTTAATGAACAAGTAACTCTATGTGGGGAAGAAAAAGGAAAGCTGGGAAAGAGAATGGAGAATTTAAGACTTAAAAAAACAACCAAAGAAAAGAAAAATAATTTGAAAAATAAGTATAATGCTGGAAAGCAACAGAAAAGGGGAATACAGAAGAGGGAAATAGAAGTAGAGAGACAAAGGGGAAAAAAGGAGAGAGAGAAGAAGAGAGGGAAGAAGGAAAGGAAAAGAAGCTACAAAAGTCCGGAGCAAGATATAAAGAAACAGGACCTATTTGGAGATAATGGGTGAAAATCTAACTGAAAAAGGGATTCTGTAAAGGTACATAAGATTGTATTGTTATATTTGCAATAGAAATAACTTTAGAAAATTGGAAGCAACATACGATTAAAATGAGGGATAAAATAGTTAGTGTAATTTAGTGAAATGTTTGTGAATAAAAAAATGAAATAAAATAAATGAGAAAATTGAATTAGGAAGGAACGGGAACATTTTAATTAGTCAATGTTTTATAAAATATAAGTGAAGAGGGGGAATTAACTATGGAAAGTGTATAATTGTTCCCATAGAAGTATGATATTTAATTGAAAAGTAACATGAAAAATGTTAAGATCTTAATGAATATTAATACTAATGATAGAATTGAATTGGAATGGAATGTTGCTTTAATTATATTATACATTTATAATTTTTTCTTTTTTTAAGAATACAGTGTGTAGTTTAAGAATGTACCAAGCAGAATCCAAATGGAAGTTATGTATTATATTGAGTGTTATAATTTTAGGGGAAAGATATAAAGGCGTCATACTCCAATCAGTAACTACAGGAGAAATTTTGTTTAATGAGAAAAGATAATAGACAATTGAAACAGGACAGACAAAAAATATAAATATAATGATTTGAATTGAGATGAAATAAATAAAATAAAATTGAGAAAATTAAAAGAGGGGAGAAGCTATGTAGAAAATGTAAAATAGTAATAAGATATGGAATAGAATATAAAAATGAGCATGAACCTGAATTTGTGTCTGTACGAAGAAATGTAACCCGGGATTATGCTGCTTTCAGAAAAGATGTTTTACTTGTATTTCTTTTCTTTTTGTGAAAACTCAAATAAAATTTACCAAAAAAAAAAAAAGAAATACAAAAAGCAACACAAATGGAAAGGAGTGTACAGTAGAGATATCAACATCCAAGATACATAAAAGATGTTTCCTATTTACAAGAACTCCTAATACTATGAGATGGTGGTAGATCAGCATTCCAGTTATTTATCAAGTCAAAAGGCTAAAGGAATTAATGGAATATCTAAAGAAGTGAGGCGGGCAACAGAAGAAGTGTTAGTCTAGGTCAATGGTGGCTAATCCAAAAGGCAATGTGTGTAGCCCCTCCAGTCCCCTGCACATGCACGCACAATTCCCACTGCCCCCTTACCTGCACTGCACCTCCCAGCTGATTTTCAGCCCATTTGAGGCCTTTTTCAGCCTGCCAGAGGCTTGAGGGATGCCTCTGCAGGCTTTGCAGGCCAAAAAATGGGCCCATTTCATCACTTCCACTGTTTCTGGTAATACAGGAAGTGACAAAACGGGCCTATTTTTTGTCCTGCAAAGCCTGCAGAGGCATCCCTCAAGCCTCTGACAGGCTGAAAAAGGCCCCAAAATCAGCTGTGAGTAATGCGCATGTACAGTGAGGTAAGTTTGCCTGGGGCTTGCATACCCACACAAATGGCTCTGCGTGCCATCTGTGGCATACGTGCCATAGGTTCGCCATCACGGGTCTAGGTTGTAACCAAGTTATGTCAGCAAATCTGAACAATGACACAATGCCCATCAGGTTGGAAGAGATCAATCAATATTGGTACCCCTCCACCTCCCCCTCCCCCCCAAAAGGAAAAAGAGACTTTACAGAGTATGCAGACTATTGCACCTTGTATTTAATTTTGCATGCTAGCAAAAATAATGCTTAGGATCCCTCCAGAGCAGATTAGAGCTCTACATGCCAGATGTTCAAGCTGGCTTTAGAAAAGGCTGAGCAATAAGAATGTTATTGCCAATACACGCCAGATAATTAAGTAAGCCAAAGAATATATACAGTATTTAAAAAATCAGTATCTGCTTCATTGACAATCAAAAGCTTTTGATTGTGTTGATCATGTCAAGCTGTGCAATGTACTCAGAAGAATGGGAATCCACACTTCTCATGTGAAACCTATATAAAGATCAGGAAGCCACAGTACAGACAAAACATGTCAGAGCAGATTGTCTCTATATTGGTAAAGCTGTGAGGCAAGGCTGTATATTCTTCCCTTATTTATTCATCCTGAATATTTATTAAAGGAAACTGTACTGGAAAAAGATTAATGTGTTTTAAAATTGGAGGAAGGTCATTAACTTGCACTTTGCTGATGACACTACCCTGACACCTGAAAATACAAAGGAACTGCAAGTTCAAGTAATAAAAATAATAGAAAAGTAATAAAAATCTAGACGAACAGTGAAAAAATGGGCCAGTAAAGATGAACAAGACCAAACTAATGACAATGGTAGGATACCAGCCACAGAACTGACAATGAAGACATCAAAGTGGTAGATAGCTTCAGCCTTTTAGGATCAACCATCCTAAGGGAAAAAGCAGCCAAGAAATACAGAGTAGAATTTTGTAGGGGAGCCATGAAGATCTTGGAAAAGATATTCAGAAGTCTACATACCTAGAAAGATCAGAACAGTGTAAGCCACATAACTCTCTGTGACACGCTATAGATGTGAAAGCTGGACTTTGAAGAAGCAGAATGGGAAGAATACCAGGTACTTTGAAACATTGGTGTTGGGGAAAACTCCTGAGAGTAGCATGGACAGCCAAGAAAACCAAAGAATGGATCATTGAAGAAATCAACTCAGAGTTTGAATGATCCTACTTCAGATACATCATGAAAGACCTAGCTCTCTGCAGAAGGGCATATAGCTAGGAAAAGTAGAAGGGATGGACGGTAGAGGATGATCAGCGGCAAATTGGATAAACTCAGTTACATTGGCTATGGGTGTGTGTTGCAGGATCTGAAGGACTAGGTTAGAAATAAGACCATCATAAATCAAATTTGTGTGACTGCTAGGAGTTACCACTGACTTGATGGTATGTAATCAATCAATACAGGGGAAAGGAAATTTTTCTTCCTAAAAAATAAAATAACAAAATTAACAGAGAAAAAAAAAATATAACAATTGCTTGTGTGGCACTTTTTTGACAACTGCTTAAAACCGCAGCACCTTTTTGTGGATCACATAGCTGTCCTCTGCAGCTATAGGTACCCCAATCCCAATGCAACACACATTTGCAGTTTATGAATTGTTGATGTGCTACAGGTGTGCCTGCAGGAGTTCTGAAGCACTTTTTTTTCTCTTTGAACCTGAAACTTTGCGCAGCTATTCTGTTTATATCTGCCAGCTGCCCTAAATATCTTGTGAAAGCATTTAGGAGCAGGCTTAGTGGAAGAAGAAATAAGCTTTCTCGAAATATATTACTAATATTTCCAAAGTGTATTGGACTCAAAGTGGTATCTTCTGGAGTTGGGTTAACCCAAGCTTTCCCCAGATCTTTACTCTTTTTTTCTCTGTCCTCCCCTGCTTCTTAAAAAAAATGTTTTGGGAAATGCCTTCTATATTATAAAAACTCTGATCCATTCTGTATCTTTTTTCTTTTCTTTTCCCAGTCTAGACAAGTTGCATCTGACCCTGTCTGAGCTTTGCTGGAGCATAAACCAAGCAAACAGCATTGTTGTCTTTGAGCACATAGTAACTCCAGTGGAGTATCTCAGTAGCCAGCTGGAGATCCGACTCAGCAGGTACAGGAAGTAATGGGATATTATTGCCATGTGGGCAGGGTAGTTTTCTAGAAGTGGACGTGCATGTTATTTTGAAGAATGGAAAAGGGGGGGGGGGGTAAGAGGACTTCGAATTTGACAGCTTTAAGACTTGTGGACTTCAACTCCCAGAATTCCTCCTCCAGTCATGTTAGCTCAGGAATTCTGGGAGCTGAAGTCTACAAGTCTCAAACTTGCCAAGTTTGAAGGACCTTGATGTAGGTCAGGGGTGTCAAACTCAAGGCCCAGGGGCCAAATCTGGTCCATGGGGTGATTAGATCTAGCCCGCAGGGCCACCCTGGAAACGGCGAAAGACTGGTCTGAGGTGCCTCTGTCAGTAAAAACAGAACCAGGCTGGCCTGCACACAGCCCTCTTGAGCTCTGTTTTCATTGGCAGAGGGTTACTTACTGGAGGCCGTTGCAGCCGAAAACGGACCTCAGGAGCCTGTTTTCTCTGGCAGAGGGTTCGGGCCACCACAGGCACCCCTGACACGAGTGATGTCGAGTTGACCACATTCACTCTGGGCACGCCCACTCTGGCCCTCCGAGGTAAAATACAATTCTGATGCGGCCTTCAATGAAATCGAGTTTGACACCTCTGATTGTAGGTGATAGTGTGGGTCCCATTCTGAATTTCTCTGAATTCAATGAATTGAGCATGATCTGCCTCCCTTCAACCTTATTAACTCTCCTATGCATTTAATTCTTGGCATGCCTATGAATTGAATGGCTGGATTTGCTACGGTGCCCTGATCTGGGTTGCAAAAACCCAGGCATCTGCTAGAGTCTAGCTAGACGGATGCGTTAAGATTTCTATACAACATTAGTTTGCATGTTGTGTTAAACCCTAATCTGCTGTGTTTATTTCAAAGTCTTTTTAAAGACTCTGAGTGACCTAGGGCAAATTAGCAATGAAAACAAGGTAAACCTTTTACAATATTTCTTTTGTTTGTCAGCAGTCAAGTGTACTGAAGCATGTAGGGAGTTCTTCAAATGACACCATAATTGAATACAGTGTAAAATACTGTTCATGCAATCATTTAGATACTAGTCCATAGTTTAGTAGGGAGCCTGCCATATGTGGGTCAGGTGTTCTCACTGCTTGCTAAAAGTCCTGAACCCAGTTAATTATGGTTTAAATTAATGATTAAAACAGTGGCTTAGAATGTTGTACGCTTTTTAAACAACTGTATACATTATAGACTTCTTGCAAAACCTTTTTTTAACTACCTCTTTAACAAAGTTTATTTTCAAGGTTGACTCAGCCTTCCATCCTTCCGAGGTGGGTAAAATGAGGACTCAGATTGTTGGGGGCAATAGGCTGTCTCTGTAAAACAGCTTAGAGAGGGGCTGTAAAGCACTGTGAAGTGGTATATAAGTCTATGTGCTATTGCCAGGGGTGGGATTCTACCCGTTTGCACCTATTCCCTAGAACCGGTTGTTAACATTCTAAGCAGTTCAGAGAACCGGTTGTCAGGAGAAATTACTGGCCTAATCCTATAAGAAAGGCAGGAGGGAAACATTCTGGTGTTGCTTACAGAAACTGCCTCTCCATTAACCCTTATTACATTCTTGGCAGGACTAAACTGTCTCTGGAACTTCTCTGGAGTTTTTTTTTTCCTTCTTTGCTGGTACTTTGCTTGTGTGGAGTGACCATTCAAAGTTACAATGACACTGAAAAAAGTGACTTATGACTGTTTTTCACACTTACGACTGTTGCAGCATCCCCACAGTCATAACAGGCCAAGTGAGAAGATGCGTGCCTCGATGTGAGTGATATTGAGTTGGCCATGCCCAGCCAATAACATGATCACCAAGCCATATCCACCCAGTCACATGACCACCAAGCCACACCCACCAACTAAGCCACACCCACAGTACCGGTTATTAAAAAATTTGAATCCCACCCCTGCCAGAGAGCTTTTGCTATGTAATCCAGATGATGCTTCTGCCTGGAACTTCAGACTGGCTATTGCCTCCTTCTGTAACTCTTTAAAGAGTAGAGCTACAGAAGGCTTTACCATCTGTTGGATCACTCTATTCTTACCAGAAATATATTGTGGGAAACAATTGTTTTGTTTTGACACCAAGCTTTTTTATTTAGATAATTGTTTTGAATTGCTTTTGTTTTAGATACTACAAATAACAGCATATTATATTTATGCTTGTGTTTTGTCTTGCTTTGAGGTGAGCCCTTTCAGTTTGAATTAAAGTGTATTGGTAGACATAGCAGACAACAATGAAATGCCACTTTGAAGCTTATGTGAGCCCTCTTAATAAAAATGACCTGCAAATGTTTCAGTCTCAGAACTGAACTTGCTAGATCATGAAAATGCACTAAATATCTGTTAATCGTGAAGAGAAGCTAAGCTAACTTGTGCAGGGGAGTCAGTAATGCAAAGGAGAAGAACCAGGGCCCTATAAGCCACACCATCCATACCTTGTTGTTATTCCTACATATGGCTTGTTCAGCTGGATGATTTAAGTCTCCTTTGGTAGCTAACATTTAAAAATCTGGATATTTTTTTCTTGCTGTTAGCCTACCCTCTCTCCATAAGCAAATACCTAATCTATTTCCAAATGCACTAGCAGGCTTGGCTTATGTTCCTTGGACAGAAACTTTAACCACCCATTCCCTTTGCTCTTTGCTGAGGCATTCTGAGCTATATAATATCATAAGCTATATAACAGGGGCTGCCACAGGGATGAAGGTGTCAAGCTATTTTCTAAAGCGCCTGTAGGCCAGATAAGGAATAATGGATGGGAACTGAACAAGGAGAGATTTAACCTGGAAACAAGGAGAAATTTTCTGACAGTGAGAACAATCAACCAATGGAACAGCTTGCCCTCAGAAGTTGTGGGAGCGCCATCACTTGAGACTTTCAAGAAGAGATTGGACTGCCATTTGTCAGAAATGGTGTTGGGTTTCCCACTTGGGCGGAGGGTTGGACTAGATGACCTACAAGGTCCCTTCCAACTCTGATTATCTGTATCTAACAGAATATAAGGCCTAAAGATGTAGCTGTGCTGGTTGGCTTGGGACTCCAGTGAGGGGTCAGTGCAATGGAGGTGGTTGATTGAGTAATAATAGATCCCACCTCCCCTCTTCCCACCCCTATGTGTTTTTGGTTTTATTGTTTGTTTTTAACTTTTATATTTTAGATTGTATGTGTTTGTAAGCTGCCCAGAGTTACCCTATGGTAAGATGGGTGGCCAATAAATTTAATGAAATAATACAATACAATACAATACAATACAATACAATACAATACAATACAATACAATACAATACAATACAATACAATACAACACAATAAATATACTGTCCTGCAGAATTGTGACTTGAGGGTTGCAAGTTGATATATGTAAGTTTGCTTTTGTTGTTGTTGTTTCTCCTTGTTTTCCTGATCTTGCCCATAGATGTTTGGCGCGACTGGTAAAACCAAACCCAGGTTCTCCAGAGATAGTGCGTCCCACAGAAGTATTAGCAGGCGTGCAGGCCTATGCTACTTTCCTGGTGTCCCTGATGCATCGTGTGGGAGTGGATACTTCACACCTCCTCGGTGGAGTGCTCCTGCAGCACACCCAGCCACTGGATGCAAGTGGGGAGCAGACCATCACCACGCTCTATACCAACTGGTATGTGGCCGGAGCACAATGGTGACCTGCATGGGAGAAAATACTGCTGTACAACTGTAGGTCCCAGGAACACTAAGGTCACTCTTACTATCTCCATGAAATTCCAAGAGTCAGCTCTGAAATATTCTCTGAGATATTCATTAAAAAAATTCTTCTTGAGACTAGAGACTAGGCTGAGGGTTGTCTACGCTGAAAATAATACACTATTTTCAGGAATGGACAAGCTGTTCCTTCTTCCCATTAGTACATTCTTATAGAAAGAGGGAGAAAGGATATTATGGTTGTGAGCTAAAGCTTTCTTAGGAAGACTTTCTTACTAATAAGGTTTCCTGGCTCTGTCATTTTCCTGTTTCCATATAGCTGCCCTGCAACAAGTTTAAGAAAGTTGTACTCAGTTGTTCTTAGATGGAATAAATTTTTTTTTAAACAAATTTTATTAATTTTCAAAGAGAGTACACAAACAAAACATAAGACATAAGAACATAAAGCATCTTTTCTAACAACTACTTAACAAAACAAATAAGACATCTCATTTAAGTACAATATAGTTTAAATTATCACGTTTCCACACACAATTTGATATGCATCTTATATATTCAACTTCATATCTTCTTACTATTTTCCATCTTCTCACTGTTTCTTCCTTTATTTCTGTTCAATTTTATTCATTAAACTTATACTTTCATGTATTTCATATTACTATATTTCATATTATTGCTATTTCATATGTTCTTATCCAACATCATTACTCCTCAATAAACAAACATAGACTAACAAAACACATAACATAAAAACATAAAACTTCTTTTTAGAAAGCGGCTTAACCCCAGGTTATAACTTTTTGTACAGACATAAATCAAATTCATGCTCAGCTTATATACTATTTCATATCTTAATTAAAATTCTATATTTTGCATATATCTTCTCCCCTCTTTTCACTCTCTTAATTCTATTTTATTTATTTAATCTCAATTCAAATCATTACACTTGTATCTTTTGTCCGTTCTTTTTCAATTATCCATTTATCTTTCTCTTTAACACAAACTTTTTCCTGTAGTGACTGGTTGAAGTATGACACCTTTCTATTTCCCCCCCAAATTTAACACTTAAAATAATACATAGTTTCTATTCTGATTCTGCTTAGTACATTCTACATAACATTTTAAAGATGGAATAAATTTTTGTGGCATCTCTTCCCAGGTATCTGGAGTCACTTCTACGCCAGGCAAGCATGGGATCCATTGTCCTTTCGCCTTTATTGCAAGCCTTTGTCAGTGTTCCCAAAGAAGGGGAACAGATCTTCAGTGCTGAAGAATTTTGTGATGTCCTAGGTAGGTGTCAAAATGCCTAGACTGAACCATTCAGAATTGAGTTACAATGCGGGTCACCTTATTTGAATTTAATTCCTAGTGTCCGTAGATGAACTGATAGATTTGAATTGTATTGTTCATTAGAAGCTGTGGCAAATTTTGAGTATGAAGCAGAGAATCCCTATCACCAGATAAAATATCCTATATCAGCAGGCTTGAGATTTTGGACAACCTGGAACTACACCACCTACGGTTAGACTTAAGTGTAGCACACAAAATTATCTGCTACAATGTCCTACCAGTCAATGACTACTTCAGCTTCAACCACAACAATACAAGAGCACACAACAGATACAAACTCAATGTAAACCACTTCAAACTTGATTGCAGAAAGTACGATTTCAGCAACAGAGTGGTCAATGCCTGGAATGCCCTACTTGACTCTGTTGTTATATCCTCTAACCCCCACTCCTTTAACCTCAAACTATCCACTATTTACCTCACCCCATTCCCAAGAGGTCTGTAAGGGGTGTGCATAAGTGCACCATCGTGCCTACTGTTCCTGTCCTATTATCCCCATTCGTACCTATTTCCTGTATTCTTACTCATGTTTATACTTATATTTATTATCTTGTAAGCAATTGACAAATCAAATAAATAAATAAAATAAAATAAATAGAATAATGGAGGAGGAAGAGGAGGAGGAGGAGAGAGACAAACCACTTCCATATTGTTCATAAGCAAACTACATGGACCAGCAATTAAGTTTAGTACTAAAGTATTCAGAACCAGGACAGCATCAACACAGGAAACTTAACATCCAGCCATCCCTTTCAAACATACACTCTCACAGCAATATTACAAAGATTAAAAATAACATCCTGGCCTTAAATGTAAGATCTTAAAGACACAACGTAAAACGAGACAGAAACACGTGCTTTGTGCATGAGGCTCTTGGTTAGAATGTTAGTATGTCATAGAGTTTGGATCTTAGAACAATGGAAGTTTTGCAGTTCTCTCTCTCTCTCTCTCTCTCTCTCTTTCTCCCTCCCTCCCTCCCTCCCTCCCTCCCCTCTCCCCCCCCCCTCTCTCCTCAGCAGTGGCAGATAGTAGGAAGGAAATGGTTTTTGGCTGTTTCTCAATCAGTTAGGAAGCTAGGGGTAAACTTGGGACATCATACCAAACGGAGAAAAAACTGCCTACTAAGTCAAAGTAGATAAAGGTCAGCCCACGGGCCCTCTGTATTCTTCCTGCCTTTTTCTGAATATCTCTGAAGCTTTCCAAGACTATGCCAATAATTTCTGTCAGCAAAATGTTGAAAATCAACAGTGTCTTCAACAACAAAAGTAGCACTTAACAATAGCACTTAGACTTATATACCGCTTTATAGTGCTTTACAGCCGTCTCTAAGCGGTTTACAGAGTCAGCATATCGCCCCCAACAATCTGGGTCCTCATTTTACCCACCTCGGAAGGAGGGAACTCTGAGTCAATCTTGAGCCAGGTGAGACTCGAATTGCCAAATTGCTGGCAGCCGGTGATCAGCAGAAGTAGCCTGCAGTACTGCACTCTAACCATTGCTCTACCGTGGCTCTTAAATGATCATACCTGCAATGTGTTAGCTGATCTCACCTTTAAGTTAATGGGTATGAATCCATTATATATTTTGGTTGAAGGCTGAAGCTGCAGAGGGATAGTACTGGTTTAAAAGGGGGGAGGGGCAGTACTGCATTCTAACCACTGCGCCACCATGGCTCTTAAGTAACTATAAATATATGACAAATGTCCACTAAATTTAAGATAATTATTTCAGTAACTATCTCCATCCGAGACAAGCATATTGAAAAATCTGGTCCTGGTCTCTTGTGTGAGTTGTGTTCATCATTACCAGTGCCATGTTGTCTTGGCTATTGCTTTTTTTTAAAAAAAAGGCCTCCAATAAGTTAAATGAGAAGGCCGAGATCTCTTGCAATTTCTATAATCAGAAGAGGATGAATCAACATCTGATGTCTCCTTTTCCCTGATGCCTGTAGGAGAAAGAAATCAAAAGATCGACCCTGCTGTGGCTGTTTTAAGTATGCCTGCTGTACTATTGTACTGTAATAAAAATGAATTCCTTTTGATTTCCTTGCAGAAATGAGAGCATTGGCTGAACTCCTCGGTCCTTATGGAATGAAGTTCCTAAGTGATAACCTCATGTGGCATGTCACCTCACAGATGGTAGAGCTAAAGGTATAAAGCTCAGTGGAGAGGGGAACAGATTGGAATCAGCTATTTTCTTACTTATTCTGGGCTCATGAAACCATAATATAATTTATCTGGTTTGAACAGAGTTTTTTGTGAGTCCCCTGCCATTCCTCACAGTGTAGAACAGTATATTAAGTGAGCTGACTGGTCTAGTTAGTCAACAGTGGCTTAATGTGGTGCATGAAACCTGCCTTTCAGATTAGAAGAAAAGGCACTGAGCAGAATCTGGGTCTGGTTCTAGAAATTCTGCTAAGTTTCTTGGGGAGAGATTTGAAGATTGGCATATGGCTATTTCTCAAAGCAAACTGAGAAGCAGGCTGCTCAAGATAAATTTTGCACCATCTCCAGAGTCGTCATACAATATCACCAGGTTTCATTCTTTCCAGAAACTTGTGACTGAGAATATGGATATTTTGGTTCAGATCAGATCCAACTACTGTCATCCAGAGCAGATGGCAACGTTAATGCCCCGCCTATCAGGTAATGGTTCTGTACTTCTTGTTCTCTGCCTCAAGTATTCAGCAGTCATTAGTGAGACTAATAGTGAATTCAGGATTTGTTTGTTTTGGGGGTTTTAAAAGAAAAACAGAAAGCACAACTAAAGAAGTCAAATCTATTTTGACTCTGGGTTTTATTACTTATTTTTAAATGTACGTTTTTGGACCAAATCTTAGAATGGATGATATTATGTCTCATTTCTCACTGTTTTGATAATCCCAATATTTTAGAGATAATAAATTCATTAGGTTTGGCTCACTTTTCCCCCAAGAGCTCAGGATAGTGAGTGTAACATTTCCACCACCACTTTTTCTCACAAGAGTTCTGTGACATAATGTGAGCTGAAAGGTTGTGACCACCCTCAAGTCACCTGGGGACTTTTTTGTGTGTGAATGTGGACTTGAAACAGGATTTTCCTCCTCCTATAGCCCAATTTACCAACTCTTTAGTACAGCAGACTGGAAATTGGATGTGGGGACAGAGCAAATTATGATGGCATAGTTTTGTCATGCATTACAGCATATTAGGCCAGCTGTCTGGATATATCCTAAGACTAACTAATATATTTGGGTAGGTGGGGAGATGAGGAGGGAATGGAATAGAATATTTTATTGCCAAACTTCTGTGCAGAGTTTTCCACAAAAGTGGTTTCAGATTCTAAATATATCTGACATCATTAGAAACTTACCAGCAGATGCAGCCTTGTAAAAGTTCCTGCTGTTTTAGACACTGGTTCTAAATATTGCAACTGTGTTGTACTCTCATTCTAAGACTGTTTAGAGTAGACTAACTTGGTTTTCATAGAAATAACTCAACAGCTTCTGTTGATCTGGGATAATTTGTCCCATTTGGATGCCTTCTAAAGGTATTTATGGAATGTCTATCATTCCCAACTAGTGTGTACTATGATAAGCTGGGTGATAGAGATTATAGACGTTATATTTCAAATACAATCACACACATCTTGGGATAAGCTAAGCTAAAGGTCTTGTGGCTCCTGGAAGATTGTATCTAATCACAATCTCTTCTGTCTAGGCATAGATAATGTTCTAAAAAGGATGACAATTATTGGGGAGATTCTGTGGTTCCGATCAATGGCACAGGAGGGACTTCAAGAGGTAAGTGGTGGGGCTCTGATATTTGTCCACACACAGCTACAAACAACGGTCTGCTCCTTGCTTTGTTTTTTGGTGGAGGGAAGGTAATTAAGTAGGAGCTTGTAAGCAAAAAGGGTAGATCCCATTTGTTGTCTCACCACTTGCATTCTAACATGGACAGGTTTTCAGCAACCATTGCCCTTTCCTGATGGGACCCATTCAGTATCTGAAAGAATTTGTCAACCCTGAGATGGACATAAAGGTAAAATTGTCACTGTTTTTCTTTCTCATCTTGTATGAAGCACGTGACCAGGAGGGTTCATTCTCTGCATTTTCTGAATGCTGTATTGACAACAGTACTGACTCTACCAGCACCATTGTCCTTGCTTTATCTGTATGCAGAAAAAATTCTGGGGGTATAGAAGAGAATTTCCTCTTCAAGTTCCTTTTATCAGTGATCCTGAAATGTGTACATCATGCTCGCACAGACAATAATCTGAAAGGGGACTTCATATCTCTATGGAGTCTGCCGATTAAATATAAATGTTAATTTTACCTTTAAAAATGCCTTTAAAGATGTTACAAAGAATGTCAGTATTTTTAGCATTAATTCAATACGTACCTTACAAAAGAGCTGGCGAATCTCTTAGCATGGATTAGATATGGACAGCATTTGACGGATTGGGAACTGAAATTGCCAGCATAGTGGCAAAGATTGTTAATGTGTGGCCCATGGGTAGCCAAGCAGCAGCACCTCAAGCTCTCACTGTCAGAATTTGACTCCTTCTGGGTCAGAATGCCTTTTGGGAGCCAATTTCAGTTTTTTAAAATACAGGGTGTCTTAAGGTTAGGCATGGTAACATTCTGGGAATCCCCAATTTTAAAATCCCCCAAACCTTGAAATGAGCTAGGATTCCCACCCCCACCCCCCCACCCCCCAGTGATTGTGAAACAAGAACAGAAAATAGGCTCTTTCTATGACTTCTTGAGAGCCCTTCAGGGGAGATTAAAAGTCTGAATTACAACTCCCAATCCCTCAAACACTGCCCTTACTTAATCTAAAATAAAAGATTCACCAGCTCTTTTGTAAGGTATATATATTGAACTAATGCTAAAGACACTGGAATTCTTTGTAACACATTTAAAGGCATTTTTCAGCACAGTTCTGAAAATGCCAAATTTAGGAACTTTTATTATTTCAGTGTCCCCAAATCTGGATTCTCCGCATATTTGCAATCATTGCATCAAAGAGTGGAAAAGATGGAAGAGTGAAGCCCACTGCCTAACATTCCTATATTGACTTTTAAGGCCCACCTTTCTGTGTCTCTTTCCTTTTCTCTCTCTGTGCTGCTGTGTTAATGAGACACCTCTTTCAGTAATACTGTCTGCTACCTTTTAAACGCATCGTGACTTTCTTCAGTTCGGTTTTAGTTGATGTTATGGCTGTGTCATTGCATTTTTTAGTGTCTCTGGAGCATCATTCTATCTTGGCAGGGGATGTGCTGATGCATATTCTATCTCACACACATACACATAGCATAATAAAAAAAACACATAGCAGGCACAATTGAGCAAATTGTCTCTGTTATGTATTAGATTAGATTTATTAGATTTTTATCCTGCCTTTATTGCTTTATAAGTAACTCAAGGTGGCACAGATGCATAATACTCTTTCCTCCTCCTCTTTTTCCCCACAACAACTCTTCTCTGTGGTTGGGCTGAGAGAGAGAGAGAGAGAGAGACAGAGACAGAGACAGAGAGAGTGACTGGCCCCAAATGACCCAGCTGGATTTCCTGCCTAAGTTGGGACTAGAACTCACAGTCACCTGGTTTCTAGGTCACCATCTTCACCACTACACTAGTTCCATTTCTCTTGTTTGATTTTTCTTTTATAATCTTTCTAGGCAGTTGCAAGCTATGAGTGGAAGATAAGCAGACTCTTTTTCAATCTGGCATTTTATTCTGATTGACAGCAGCTCTCTCCAAGATCTTTAGCCATATTTGCTAAATATTGGAGTGTGTGTGTGTGTGTGTGTGTGTGTGTGTGTGTATGTGTGTGTGCTTAAGGCTTCTTCCACTGTGAAATTTTAATTTGTAAGCCATCCAGAGGAACCATCTGTAAGTTGGACAGCCTTATACATTTGTTTAATAGATAAGTACATAAATAGATCTGATTGGTTTTAACTGAACATGCCAGGGATCGAATCTTGGACCGTCTGTAGGTGCACTTGTTGAGCAATGGTCATACATGAGCATTGTCTTCATACTTTATTGACAGTGCAATTTGAGCCCCAAATCTGTACTGTAGAAGGAGCTACATCAAAGCCTGATCATACCTCTTGCTTAATCCCTTAATCCTCGTTCCTGACTGAGATGGACTGCATGAACTACTGTGCTACTAACTGTGCTTTTCCATTACTTTGGAGAGTTTGACAGAAGTTCACCAGCATCTCTGGAGAGCCCGCGGCTCGATCTGCTTTAAGTAGAGATGCCACGGAAGCAAACTTAGATCTTAATTTTGCCCTTTCCATGTGTGTGTCCTTGGTTTCTTATTACTCAGCTTGCCACTTCCTCTGGTTTTTTTTCCCCTATAAATCCAATCAGTTTTTGCAGTGCAGTGAGTGAACCAGGTGAATAGGGACTTCCAGAATTCCCTGGGAGATGCAGCTTTTAAGTCAGTCTTGCCCAAACTGTGTTCCTGGCATCATAGTACAGGTAGTCCTCAACTTAACAAACAGTTCTTTTAGTGACCGTTTGAAGTTACAGCAGAATTGAAAAAAGTGACTCATGACTATTTTTCACACTTATGACCGTAGCAGCATCCCCATGGTCACTTGATTTACATTTTGTTGCTTGATGGCTGGTTCATACTTATGACGGTTGCAGTGTCCTGGGGTGACTTTCTGACAAGCCAAGTCAATGGGGAAGCCAGGTTCACTTAACAATGGTGTTCCTAATTGAACAACTGCAGAGATTCACTTAACCAATGTGGCAAGAAAAGGCGTCAAATTTGTTAAAACGTAACAATTGTCTCACTTAGCATCATAAATTCTGGGCTCAATTGTGGTCATAAGTCAAGGACTACCTGTATTCAGTGAGATCATGTCTATGGAGATTCTCAGTCATCCGGGTCATGGTTGTTCAAAAGGTGCTTTTTTAACAAGAGGCAGGTGGACTTTTTGGATTTTCTCTGAAGACGTTTCGCTTCTCATGCAAGAAGCTTTCTAGTGTTTATTTGAAGATGTTTCGCTTCTCATCCTTCAGAGCTGAAAAAGCTTCTTGGATGAGAAGCAAAACGTCTTCAGAAAAACCAGAAAGCCTCTTGAAAAAGTACCTTTGTGACAGTGAGATTGTGGAAATTGATGCAGATGAAAAGTTGGACCATTTGTAGCCTCAAGGCTCCTTGCATGGAGTACCGGATAGTTTTACACATTGAAAAGAAAACGTGACAAGAGAAATGCTACAGTTAGGAATACAATTTCTGTAAAAAAAAAAAAAGTATTCTGGAACAAAAACAGACAAGCTTTATTTTGGAAATAGTAGGAGGCCTCGGCTACTTAAGTCTGTGTCTAGCAAAGAGCCTCTGGGATGCTATCCTCCAGCAGGTAGAAAGAGTGGATCAGAAAAAGACCAGAAGTACAGAGATGACAGTCAAAAGAGAAAGAGAAAACTGAGCTGAGAGAGAGAGAGAGAAAAAAATGATGAAAACCCTAAAAATATCATTCTGTACAATAAAAGCTATGTAACATAAAGAGCTGCAGAGTTCCTCTGCTAAACGTCTTTGCATCTATGGCCCCGAACAGACAACATATTTATAGTTACAGAAATCTGATGCCTGAAAAGTTGAATTTCAACCATATATACATTTGGAATCTGCCTTATGTAATTCCCCAGTCTTCACTGACTGTGACTAATGAATACGGGATAGCATAGATTCCTGCCATTTAGTAGTGGAATGTAAATAAAATACTATGCTATAAGTCTTGCAAATAGCAATAGCACTTATATACCGCTTCCTAGCACTTTACAGCCCTTTCTAAGCGGTTTACAGCATCAGCATATTGCCCCTAATAGTCTGGGTCTTCGTTTTACCGACCTCAAGATTGAACAATTGGTGGTGGGAAGAGTTAGCCTGCAATACTGCATTCTGACCCCTGCGCCACCGGCGCTTCTGGTATAAAAGCTAGCTAGTTGGCTAGCTAGCTAAATAAATAAAGAAATATCAGTCAATCAATCAATCTCACCCCATATCTTGATACATGGAACTAGCATTGCATAACTTAAAAATGAGCTATGCTACATGTGAGATACATGTATGCATGCCCCAATATAACTCTCTGATATTATGAATTAATCTTTGATATAGGTAGTAACCTAACTGATATTTTGCTCAAGTTTCAGGGGATATTTAGATCTTTTCTCGATATTTTTTGTTGGATGTATATTTTGTGTATACTCTATCTTTCTTATCTTCATTTTTAAGTGCTTTGGTTTTATTGTATTGCGAACAGTTGCTGGGGTGCATCCACAGTTTTGTTGTACTTGTACAATGACAATAAAGTTCTTCTAATTCTCATATTGTGTTGGGAGCGTATGCCCACACAGGGCCCAGTGGAAATCAGTGATGGAAATATGAGGATGCTGCTTCAGTTCATATTGGTATAACACTTCAAAACCAGGCAGAAAAAAACAACCTGGCATTAATAGCTCAATAAAAGACCCACAATTATGAACAATCTATATTGCAAAATAGAATAATATTTTCCCCCAAGTGGACCTGTGCAATAAATGTTCACAATAATTGGAAATGTTGCACATAGGAGAACAAGATATGGAATAAAATAAGTAGTTTGCAGCTAAATCCCATGCTGTTGTGGAATATATTTTAAAAACACAATTGTTCTTCTGAACCATTTGTCCATGTTCTTTTACTTATTTTTATCCTGCCTTTTTATTTTGACAAATAACTCAAGGTGTCTGTGGAGATTCTCAGTCATACAGGTCAGGGGTCTCCAACTTTGGCCCCTTTAAGACTTGTGGACTTTAATTCCCAGAATTCTGGGAGTTGAAGTCCACAAGTCTTAAAGGGGGCCAAGGTGGGAGACCCCTGATTCAGATTATACTTGTCTCAAGATCCTTTTTTTTTCTTCAAAAGACCTATTTTTTTCTCCTTGAGGAAGAAGAAGAAAACATTTTGCTTCTCATCCAAGAAGCATTATCAGTTCTGAAGGCAGGGGAATGGAAGGGTAGATCTTCCTCAGG